CCCCAAAACCCCAAAACCCCAAAACCCCATTATAAAATCTTTTGGTTGATTCATTTAAATTTCATCGTCACCTATTTTATTTAAGACATCTTTGATATCTCTATTTTAGAACAATATAGCAACTGTTATACTCCCTTTTAAAATTACATTAATCTAAACAATTCATAATAAAGTAACGAATAAGATTTTGAATGATTTCTTGAATTTTAGAAGTATTAAAACTTGCAATTTTATCGAACAAATTAAATTTTAAATTCCAGACTATGAGAGGCGAGTTTTTAATAGTCATAAAGACAATTTCCAGAAATTTTTATTCATAATTTGTACGCCAAATAGAAGTATCATAAAAGTTTTAAAATGAAGAATTTATTTCTTCACAGTTTTCAATGTATGGTGTAAACATAAAAATAGGAGCAGAGTTTTTAAGAAATCTATTTTAATATCATGTTGTACTCATATTTATCCAAATTATGAATTTACTACACAATTAAATATTCTTCTCCAAGAGTTGCTCCATTGATCAAAGGTATTGATTTTTCAGTTGAAAAGCTACCTGGCCAATACCTACTTCAAACTGTATCTTCTGGCAAAATTCCAAGCGTCTGATAAGAAGCTGCTACAAGTTCTGAACAGAAAAATGTTTGCTCTTGTTCATCTTAATGATAATTCTTAAAAACTTACTGTTGTAGTTGTTTTTACCTAAAACACTCTTGATACTGAATTTAAATTTCTTATCTTTGACACTAACAAGGAAGGATTCAAGCTATCATTTAAAAATAAAAAATATACCCTGTTTATGTCTTCATTATTTCTTTCATGCTTAAGTTTTCTATAAACTACTCTTTGATATTTCTTTGGCCATCCAATTTGATGAAATGCTTGCCAATCAATAAAAGTTACTCCAAGTGTTGATGTGCTCTCAAAGAGAAGAACTTTATCATCCGATCCCTTTAGAACCATAGCAACATGATCGTACTTGCTACAAGTCATCATTCTTTGGAACTTTGAGGCTTTAGAAAACCCTCGGAATAGTAGAATATCCCCAGTATCTGCCATTTTAATAAACTCTGAATTTTCTAACCTTGGATAAGAAAACACAAGTGATTTTGATAATGGAACAGAAGCAAGGTCTGTATAGTATCCTTTACTGCTCTCAAGATGCTCAAATAATGCTATATTTTATTTAAAAATCACATACTTTGTACCCAATCTTGTGCTTCATTAGTGTGTGCTTGATCAGAAGGGATCCTAAAATCAACTGTTTCTGCTAATCCTAAAATTTTCAACTTAAAAGCTCTCAATGGTTCGGATTCCTGCACCTAAATATCAGCCGAAGCCAGTACGAATATTGCTGCAGTCAATGAATTCAGGTCAATCACAAACTCAGTGAGCTTCTTCTCCCTCTTTTTGTATATAAATATTCAATGATCTTTGATAACTCAATATCTTCTTCTAAATTTTCTAAGCCACCGAACTCCTGTTGGCAACTTCACTTCGATATTGCCTGCCTTCTGCGTCAAGATAATATTCTCAGTCGGATATTCTCCTTGGACTAGGTAAAAACTTCTAGTGTAGTTAGCTACTTCTGAGGCATGAGGACTGTTCTATAGATTAGCATTAGAGCTTACTAATCTCTCAATTTTGTTAGCCATGCAGCTTGACCTCAAATTTCTATGGTTTCATTAGTTGTTACCTCTGTGTTTTCTGGTGCTTATTTGGTGTCACAAGGCCATGAATCTTATTAACAAGAGACATCAACTTGTTGCCTTTAACAGTGACAAATGAGGTTTCTAATGATCAGTCAGAAATCATACCTGGGTTGTTAAATCTCCCATCTACTTCTTCTTCATCTTCAGAGATGTACCGATCATTTTCATAATTGTGTAAATTTGGTGCTTGCTTATTCTCTTTCTTGTCTTCCTCTTCATCTACTGCATCTCTGTGAATGATCGAATTCTAAAAGATTAGGTTGGATATTACTCTAGGATTCATCATATGTAAAAGATCTCTCTCAGTTTCATGAATTTCTTGACTTACTCTTCTATTATCAGCATGGTTAATATATTCATTCTTTCCTTTAATAGCCTGTGGGATCAGTGATTCAAAGTTATTTTGAAGTCTTTGAGCCTGAGAGCCTTCATCTATTGAGCTATCAACAATATGCCTATAAGTTATGAATCCCAGGCGATGAAATTCCTTACTGATCTTTATGAGCTGAAAGAATGATATCACTATCTGAGCTTTTCTCATCTATAGGCTTTGATAGGATAATTACTGTTAATTTCAACAATATTCATTGTTCGAGGTAAGAAATCTCTGTTAACTCCATAATAATTCTTAATCGACACAGTATTGGCATCTCCATATTTCTAATGATGAATAAATATTTACATGAAAATCTGGGACTTCATCATGTACTTGGTAGATAGTTTTTACAGTGCTTGCTAATCGAGAATGACGCTCGATCAGCTCCATATTTTTATTTATAAGATCTTTATTCCTTGGGTTGCTAAATTTTTATAAGATAATTTATTTATGAATAGTAATTACCCACCTTGTAAAATTATCAAGCTTAAAATTTCCTCCCAATCTTACAGGAAGAGAGTCGTTAAGATTACTCCATTCTATAGCTTATTTATATCTTGTACCTGAAGATTCAAGAGCGCTTGAAGGGACTTTAATGATCTTATTTATCAACAGATTGATTATTGAGTTTAACCCTTGGATGAGCATGGTCATCCTGGATTAAATCTCTATTTTTCTTTGAATTTTGCTTCTCAGTGAATTTATTTAAGATAAACTCCTCCAGCTGACCCTGCCATCCTCATATTAAGTAACTAAAGAGGAACTATCAGAATATTTCTTTGATTGTTAATTATCTTACATTATTAGGAGTATTATTTTGATCACTAATATCTAAGCTGGAATCGTTCAATACCATAATCGGCTCTATAATATCAATTTTTATCAATTTCCAATAATTAAATTAATAATATTTAACAAAACAATGTTTTACTCTTGACTTTGACTCCTTTTTCTCTAAACTTATGTGAAGAAAACTCATCCATATCTCTTTTGTTAATTTCAATAAATATTTTACTGTTAGGGGTTTTGGGGTTTTGGGGTTTTGGGG